ATCGTGATGATATACACAATCTGTAAGCGCAGCGATGACATACTTCTCGTGATGAAAGTGGGATGTCAGTTAAGCGTTAGCGCGCAAATTCCATTGCAGATGTTACTCTTTGCAATGCAGAACAAACGTTTACAGGTAAGATTTTTATTTATATTCTTACATACAATTGGCCGGTGTTATTAAGCATTTCCAACATTATTCCAAGAAGAGGAGAATTGATTCTTCATTGATTTTGATCCGCTTGCGTGTGATGAATTTTACAAAGTAAGCAGTTCTGTATTCAACTTTTTTAGAATAGTAACTTTTTAAAATTCTTTTTTTTATTTTGAAAGTCAAGATTTTCTATTTGTTCGAATCATTGCGTAATGTTAGAAATCGGACATTTTAACGCGTTAAATTCTTTTGTTAGCATTCGCACAGTCATTTGAAACGACTGCCAATGTTTTACGAACTCTTTCCACGAGATCTTCGTTTGTCTTCAAATAAAAATACTAGAGCATTTTTTATTTTTATTATTTTTACTATTTATTTAACAATTACTATAATTTGAAATTAAGACAATCGAAATCAAATGTAGTATAAAGTATTCTAATATTTTACGCATTTACAGAAAATTATTAATATAAATCTTGAAATTGCAGAGTATTACTTCGATAATGGAAGATTATTACCGTCAAGCATTAAAGTATGAAAGAGAAATTTTTCAAAAATATATTGACAAATGCAAACTGCTGTATGGTATGTGAAAAATTACACTACGATATCTGTTATTAACATCGCTGATTTGTTTATTACTTACTGTTAATACAGATTTGTCTTAAATTGATTATTCATATTTCTCTTTCGTGCGTTAAAAGATTACAATTATATTATTAAAAGGAATATAACAATTGAATATAATAATTTACAATTAAGCTATTTTTATTACTGCAGGTGGCATTCTAAGCTGGCTGATGATGACAGGTATCAGTGTGGCGATAGGACCCTTGTTCCTGCCGCAACCGTTTCCGGGTGAGGCAGAATATCCATTTGACGCGCAATATCAACCCGTAAAAAGCATCATTTACGCGCATCATCTATTGCTCATTTATCAGAGCGTGACGCAAGTGGGCGCCAATACCTTCGCTGCACTTTTACTTTGGTTTGTAGCTGCCAGATTTGACATTCTGTCCGTCCGAATTCGCATGATAACGAATATAAAGCAGCTGGTAAAATGCACGCACGAACACAATATGTTACTCAGGTATGCAATGTACAATATAGACTTGAACGAAGCTATTAGATTAATTGTAGTCGGGGGCGTTACTAGGCAATACGCAATATACACTAGCGTAGGGCGTAAAATTTGGAGGGACGCAAAATTTTTGAAGTGTCTAGAAATATGTAAAAATTGATCGCTCGATGACTGCGATGATTCGCTTCTACCCGGCTGGATGCTGCCTGTTTGTAAAACTTCGTTTAATCGCGTGGTGGCCAGAAAAATATGACTTTTTTTCTTTTGCAGCTTTGCGTTGGGGCGCCAAAGACAGTCGTAACGGCCCCGAATTGTAGTGATTATAAAACATAATAGCCTAATCCAATAATTATAAAACATAGTAACATGATAACTTAATCCAAATCTATAATACAATAATAAGTATAATCCGAAAGTACAATAAAAAAAGTATTATAGTTATACCAATGTATAAAATATTGAAATTATTTTTATTAGTAATATAATATATTTTTTTTAATTATACAAAATAAAGTATTGGTAATTATTAATTACGCACTAATTCTATAATTCAACATCGTAGCAATTAAAAATTAGTTTAATTGTATTCTAAAAATAAATATTTATAGATTTGCAAAAGAAGTGACGTACGCAATTCGTTATGTAGCATTATTATGCGTAACTTTTAGTACCGGTGGTGTAATATTTGGTTGTCTAACTTTTATGAGTGTGAGTATAACACATTATGCTTTTGCTTGAAAATTATTACTTATAAATAGAGACCTCTTTCTAGTCTCGTAGAGCTTTTCTCAAACGAGACTCAAGTTTGCCTCTCTGCTTTCGTTGCTAAGGTCCTGCCATGTTTGCTATCTACTTTTGTTGCTGAGATATTTCAGTTTTTTGGTGAGATATTTCAGAGTTTTTCGTTTCTTTCTTTAAACGTGATTTCCTCGAAAAGGGTGAAAGATACAGATTTTTTTCCGATTATTCGATAGGGCTTTTCAAGATCTTTTAAACGAGACTGAAAAGAAATCTCTATCCATTATCGTTTTTTTCAAGAAAATTACGTTTAAAGAAAAAATCGTAAAATTGAAATATCTCAAAAATGAAAGGAGATCGAGATATATTATTTTTTCTCGGTGTTTACTTAACAGCGTCAGCCATGGTCAGTAAAATGGACGTTCCTTATGATAGCTTTCTGCTCTTTTGTGGAACTCTATATGTTTGCTTGGCCAGCTGATAATGTAATAAATACGGTTAGTTATTTACATATATAAAATATTTAAAAACAAATGCACATATATAATTGCACTTTATACACTTTATATCGATATTTTGATTAATCCACTTCTCAAACATTTTTATTAGAGTAATGACGTTGCATCCGCTGCCTATGATTCATTATGGTACAATAATAACGTAGCCATGCAGAAAATTTTAATTTATGTCATACTGAGGAGTCAACGTTCAGTCACTATTTCCATTCCACTCGCGTTACCGAATTTATCCATGAATTATTACGCGTCGGTAAGAATATATTTATTTAATGATTATCTTTTAAACATATTATATCACGCACACACATATATATGTTTCAATTTTAATTTATCTCTTAGGTTTTTTATATAAAAAAATTTGTCATGACATGGCGGTATATGATTTTTAAGTGTTAATAGTATAATTTTACTTTTTTACAGTATATTTCAACAGTTTTTTCGTACATGGCATTTGTGCGTATTATAATGGGTGAAGAGTAAAAAGAAGAATTAGATTAAAAGATAAAAAAACTATTATTTTCGTAAAACGGAACTGTATAGTTGTAATAAAAGTTTGTAGTTATTAATTTAATATTTTGATAAAATATCTGTTAATTTCTATATTTTTACATAAAACTATTTTATTATCTCTGATCATAATTTTCATGATTTTCTCAATTGCAGTTAGTCGATTCGCTTACTACTTAAGATTTAATAACTTACTTAAGTTTTTTAAATATAATTATAGCTCTGAGAATATTTAATTATCAGATTTGCGACATGATGCATGAATGTCCAGAAACAATGCGCATATTCCAAGTTGTTTAAAATTGCAATTTTTTATGAGGAGGCATTTCTGCGTATTTGTATATTTTACATCTCATAATGTCATAATTCCGCTTTATACACTTTATAAGATACAGATTAACGGGAAACGTTGTTTAGTAAAATACGATTCGAATTATGTATTCACAAGAATTCTATTAATTGGATAAAAATAACGTGTGTAGAAGCGGGAAAAGAAACCTGCTATCTCATTTCTATCTTTCTACGAGATGGATCCAATACACATCGTTAAAAAATGTATATAGCATACCATGTCTATATTTATAATATAAACCTCCGTTGCATGAATGTTATAATTGCATCCGACAGCGTGGCGTGTACAGCTGTCATTTACATGCCAACTGGCCCTCCATAGATAAAAGTATGATGGAAATAGTAAGTATTTCACGGAAATACTAAATGCAGTGTCACTCGATGTGACACGGCATTGTATGCACCGTTCGTTATTATCCAGCAGTCTGCAATTCTCATCGTATTGAATTATTAATTTGTAACGGCCATTGCATCAGTGCAAAATATCACAACAGGCACAACAGATCGTGCACGAGTCATGTAAACATGGATTTCCACACACATAGTTACTATAAAATAAACGAATACTTTTTGTCCGCCGCTGGCATTTGGCCTTACCAAACGAGGAGGAGAAAAATGTTATTATGTTTCATATCGACATTCGCTGTATTATCCATACAAGCCGCACAGGTATGTGTATCTGAAAGATCAATTATTTTGTGTAAGTATGTACAGAGTTTTCCATTTCTAGCATAAATAAGATACACGCTAATATATTTACAAATGCATTAGTTTATTTTAGATCCCAAAAAATTAATAACTTATAAACTGTAGAAAGATGTTATTATAAATATTGTTTGGCGTTATCGCAAATTTACATGCATATAAATTTGTTATAATTTTAATAATTTATAATAAATTGCTTAATTAAGTTTTTTTTTATATCCGCGTAAATGAGTGCAAAATTCTTGGCCTTTTTCAAGAAAGAGAGAGATAGTCGATTACTATACCGAAGTAATGTCTAGTGCATGATTCAGGAATGTCGAGGAAGTCCGAAAATAGGTCAATGACTTAAAATATGAATCATTTTACAGACGCAGAATCAGACAATTATCTAATAAGTGGCAAAAAGTGATGGATAGCGATGGCAGATACTTTGATTACACATGGGATGTGCTGTTTCGTTACTATTCATAAAAGGACGAACAAAACTAGAAGCAGTAAGAAAAATATAAATTTAGTTGTAAGTTAATAATATTTTGATTATAAAAATGAGTGAATTTTTTTCATAAATGAAGGGCCAAAACTTTTGCACGCATATAATAATTATCTGTTACTACTAAATAGTTTAAATAAATTAGAGAAATATGATGTACAGAGTGTCCCAAACCTACCGTAACACTTGTGGAAGATCTTTGAGATTATTTGGAAGAGAAAATCTTGATATCAAAATATCAAGGCTGCAATAGTTTTTAAATGGGAACTGTTTAAAGTTGAAAGTTTAAAGGTGCTATCACTTTAATTATTGATATTGATATAATTTATGCACTCATATAATTTATGCAATCATTGAAATAATTTTAAATTTATTTATTAATTAATTTTTGGAATATTAACATCAGAACGCGATGTGTACCGAACTGTCAAAGCTTTTACCAGCTTTATATAAAACGTGTCATAGACAAGGCATCTTCAATGTGCAACAAGGCTGAGCGCACGACTTTTTGACAATCTAATTGAACAACTTTAAACACTTCTCATTTAAAAACTATTGCAATCTCAACAATTATATTAATTTTTGTCTCGAAATGATCTCAGAAATCTGCCATTAACAAGTGCTACTGGGATCCTGAATATAATACGCTCTCTCTTTACCAAAAATTTTATATTAAATAAAAATAATGTTTTTATATTAATTCGTGATAATTAAAAATAAACTTAAATTAAATTTTACAGGTTGCACAATTTATTACGTGCAATCGGGATGTGATATGCATTCTTCAAAACACTCCTGTGTTCATACTTCATTCAGTAATTTACGTCAAGATATATACGTATGGATTACAAAAGACAAAGGTAAATGGATTACTTTATAGTATATTAAAAGTACATTTTTATACGCAGCAAGTGTGTCGAACATTTTTCGTAAGAAATTTTGTCAAAAACATTATAATCAGTTATTTTATAAATCTAATGTGAAATAATCTCAGGAATATATCATTTCTATTCACAGACTTAAAATGCACAATGTTTGTTTGAATTTTAAAAGAGTTTTGCAAAAACAATGATTTATTTTTATAGATAAAGACTCTCTTAGAATTAATGTTTGCAGAATGGAAAATATTAAAATTGAAGGATGAAATAGAAATTATGGAAAAGTATGCAAAGAATGGCAGACGATATATTATATTTTATGCTGGTAGGAAGAAAAATCGATGTCTGCAATAAATCTATAGAAGATCTTAAAAGTACCGATTAATTTGCACTATACATTTTTTTATTAATTTTAATTTTTTTTTTTTTTTTTTTTTTAAATAAAAATATTGAATTACTTACAGTTCTATAAAATTAACAAATAAATTATCTTTAAACCGACTTTACTCGTTAGAACCTACAAATTAACTAAAAAGGTCTATGGTTTTAAAGAATATTTAATGTTTCTAGGATATATCATATTGTAATATTACGATAATTTGCAGCGTACGTATATTTTACTGCGGTTGGTTGCGTTATCGCAACTTTAATGCCGCAATTTTTCGATTTGATAAAGCCACTGAATCAAAGCAGACCTGTGATACTTCTGTACCCAGCGGAATACTTTGTCGATGTAAACAACAACTTTACTTATATTTTTATGCACATGACAATAGCACTTCAATTCGCTTTGCTGGTATTAATCGCGGCGGATAGTATGTTCATTTGTTACACTGAATATGCCAATGGACTTTTTGCTATTATCGGGTAAGCACTGTGTTCAAAAGATTAAAAAGCTATCTGACATACATTTGTTATTCTTTAAAAACATTTTTTACTATTAATTTACTAATTTTCTTCGCAAGATGTCTTAGCGCTATTAAAACAGTTATTTTTAATATTTTCTTTAGATACCAATACTTTTATGGAAATTCGTGTAAAGCAATGTGTATTCTAAAACTGCTATAATAATTACAGATATCGATTCCAATACTTATTATATAAATATAGTACAGGAAACATTTTATGCCAAAATCTCACTTTATATAAATCAAATAATATATATCAGGAAACCCTCGTGGACACCATACAAATGCATTTGCGAGCTATAAAGTAAATATATATTTTTTATTATAATTAAATAGTGATTTTAAAAAAAACGTTTGATATTAATAAACAATATGTATAATTTTAGAAAAATTTAATATAAATTTTATAAGTTCAAGAATCATTCCCAGACAGCACACATGTCTAAAATCGGGACATAAGATATCTTAAAGACATCATTAGGACGTCTTTTAGATACCGTGTCTAAAAGGCGTCTTAATGATGTCTTTAAGCCGTCTTATGTCTCGATTTTGGACATGCGTGCTCTCTGGGATTAATATATCATAGAAATTTAAATTCCTTGTCATATGTTAATATTTATTTTTTATTTTTCACAATTATGTCTTTTTTTAAGTATTAATAATATCAGCATTATTTTGTTATAGCTTTGTGAAGCTCCTTGAATCTACTTACACGGTGCCTTTTGCGATTACATTGGGACTAAATACGATTATCATGAGTTGTACTTTGCTACAAGTAAGTATTTTACTTCTAAAGTAAATAAACATTTTATTAATACATTGTAACTTTTTCTAATGCAACATCTAAATTCATTTATTGTATACTTTTGATTTTAGATAGTACTGGTATCGGAACAAACAGAAGAAGTGGTAAAATATTTGGTTTACGTATTCGCACAAATCTTTCACTTATTTTGCATCAGCTTTCAAGGACAAAAAATCATAGATGGTAGCATAAGAGTTACTGATAAAATGTGAATATTTTGAAATGCAATTGTTATGTAAAAAAATACTTAAATCTAATCAAATACACTTTATTTTTTGAAAATAATTTAAATAATTTTAATAGGAAATTATTCTTGTTAAAAAATATCATTGAAAATATACATGTTTTCAGATATAATGGATTATGGTACATGATGCCAGCAAAATCGCAAAAAAATTTGCTGATTCCATTGCGGAGGTGTTTAGAACCGTGCCGTTTATCTGCTGGAAAGATTTATGTCTTTTCCTTACGGAGTTTTACAACGGTAAGAAAAACACACATTTGTAATTTTCAAAAATTATATGAATGATAGAAAAATAATTCAAAATCCAACTTCTTTAAAAATTATGCGCCTAATATTTAAAACTAATAGCATTTAGAATAATTTTAAATACTTCAAAAATTTCTAATTTAAAAATATTTTCCTTTATTGTAACATTTTTTATTTTAAAAATTTCTTGCAGAAATTAAAATTAATAGATAAAAAAAGAAAATTATGAAAGAAATACTAAAATTATCAATTTTTTATTTCAAAAAATTTTAATTTAATACTTTTAAAAATTTTTGTGTTTTAATTTCTATAATTATATTTGTTCTTGTTAAATTTATGTTAACAATTATCTGCATTTTTTATCACAGGTTATGCAAACATCTATGTCCTATTTTACAGTGTTATCGTCTTTTCAATAATTATATTTATAATACGATCATATATGTATAATAATATACAGTATTAGTTAGTATAGAAACTTTTAAAATAGTGAAGAGTGTTAATAGTAAAATTCAATAAAAAGAATTTAATTTGTTATAGTAAAAAGTATTTTTATGATGAATATATTATTCTGTATTTTCAATATACGATTAAAAACAAACTAAAGTCCATTGAAAATGTGTTTATTTTTAATCCATTTTGGATGTGAGTATCGTATCTAGAAATTTGTGCATCGTGACTCAAAACTGAAGTTGTGTATATCTGTGTGACAAGTTGACAAGAAAAGTAATGAGAAAAGTGAATAAATCTGTTTAAAATTGTATAATTGTTGCTTTTGTATGTGAATATATAAAATACTTTTGCATTCTTGCTGTTGTATCATAAAATTTATTTTTTCTTTAAAAAGTTTGCCACTTAGCAGGAAAGTGAGGTTATGTTTATGACTCAACTGGGAAGAAACAAATGTTGAAAAATTAATTAAATAGTGTAATAAGAGTACAGATTACTTGATATTAGACTGTTATTCATTTTTTTTAAATTTATTATTACTGTAATGCATTAATTCAGTGGACGAAACATCATAAAATTAACATCACTCTACCGGGTGTGCTAATTCTTGTTTCGTTTTATCGTATACTGCACAACCTTCAAATGCCGCACGATAAGAAAGCTATGCGACGAAGTCGATCTCGAGATCGCGATCGGGAACGCGAACGAGAGCGACGTGATCGGCGACGCAGCAGGAGTCGATCGAAAGACCGCAAGAAGGATAGGAAGCGATCCAGATCTAGAGAACGATCGCGAGAACGGGATAGATCACGGGAACGGGACAGATCACGAGAGAGAGATCGGGAACGTCGAGACATCAAGGACAGATCCAAGGACGACAAGAAACGCAAAAGCAGCCCTACGCTTGCTAATGAGGATGATTCAAAGAAGGAATCGAAGAACGATGTTAGAAAAGAAGAGGAGGCGGAAGAGAAAGCGAAATCGGCACCAAAGAAGGAACCATTGAGCCTAGAGGAACTGCTATCCAAGAAGAAGGCTGAGGAAGAGGCTCGAGCTAAGCCAAAGTTTCTCACCAAGGAAGAACGGACAGCTTTGGCATTGGAGAAACGTCAGCAGGAAGTTGATGCAATAAGGAAGCAGCAAGAAGAGGAGCGCAAGTCACTGTTTCATAACGATAACACTTCTAAGGAAAGAGAATGGGATGACAGAGACAGGTATGTTGATCATCAGTTTTTAATATAAAATTTGATTGAAATTATTATAAAATACATACTTACAATCAGTATTATATGATTTTTGTATATTTATTAAGAAAAAAAGAGAAAAAGAAATATAATTAATCATCTATGTTATTATTAACATTGTTATTTGCTCTGTCAAACGTTAAAGAAAATATTTCCTGAGAGAAAAAAATTTAAGATTATTTTTAAGTTTTAATATATATATTTCTCTTATTGCGATTTAAAACATTTTAAAACATTTTGGAAATAAGATTTTAATTGTTTATTAGAATGTTAAAACTGACTTTTTGTAGTAGAAGGAGAGAGGGACAGCGTTCTCGCGAAGAAGATATTAAAGACAAGGATAAAGAGAAGGAAGTGGAAGCTATCAAGGAACGATATCTAGGACTAATAAAGAAAAAGCGACGAGTTCGAAGGCTAAACGATCGAAAGTTTGTCTTTGATTGGGACACTTCGGAGGATACTTCTGTGGATTACAACAACATTTACAAGGAGAGGCATCAAGTGCAGTTCTTTGGTAGAGGCAATCTAGCTGGCATCGACATTAAGGCGCAGAAACGAGATCAAAGCAAATTTTATGGCGAACTGTTGGAAAAGAGACGTACTGAAGCTGAGAAAGAACAAGAAAAGTAAGTTGAATGATTCGAAAATCATCATATTTAGTAGAAAACTCATTTTTCATGAAATATATATCGAATTGCATTTCATTGCAAATCATATATTGCACTTTATGAAACATAATATTTTCAATATCAAAACATGATAATACTTTTTTTTTTAGAATGAGATTGAAAAAAGTGAAGCGGAAGGAGGAAAAGCAGAAGTGGGACGACCGGCATTGGTCCGAAAAGGCGCTGAACGAAATGACCGAGCGCGATTGGCGTATCTTTAGGGAAGATTACAATATCACCATAAAAGGTGGCCGCATTCCCGATCCTATCCGTTCCTGGAAGGAATCCGGTTTTCCAAAGGAGATTTTGGACATTATCGACAAAGTGGGCTACAAGGATCTCACACCTATTCAGCGGCAGGCAATTCCTATTGGCCTGCAGAATCGCGACATTATTGGCGTCGCCGAGACTGGTTCGGGAAAAACTTTAGCCTTCCTGATTCCATTACTGTTGTGGATCACCAGTCTGCCGAAAATCGAAAGACTCGAAGAGGCAGACCAAGGACCATACAGTATTATCTTAGCGCCCACACGGTATTAATTGCTTTTTATGTTATTTTTTTCACACACTGTGTATACGATTGTCTTACAAAGAAGACATCTTGCGTACAGATAAATTGCTAACAAATTAATTTTGCATTCTAGTGAGTTGGCACAACAAATAGAGGAAGAAACCAACAAATTCGGCCAACCGTTGGGCATCCGAACCGTTGTAGTAGTAGGTGGTCTTTCGAGGGAGGAGCAAGGTTTCAGATTACGGATGGGTTGCGAGGTATGCTTCTGCAATGCGATCACTTATGACTAATTTTATAAGTTTCTTTTAAGTTAGAAACGTAAAATCGATGAGAAGTTAAAGTGATCTTAAGATTAAAATAAGTCGTGTCTTTTTAGATTGTCATTGCTACACCCGGACGATTGATAGATGTTTTGGAAAATCGTTATCTTGTGCTGAATCAGTGCACTTATATTGTACTGGATGAAGCGGACAGGATGATAGATATGGGTTTCGAACCAGGTATACATTTTAAACATTTATAATAATTTGCTGACATTCTGTGATTTCAGGAAAATTAAAACTGACATTGAATAATTGTTACTTTGTTTTCTCTTTTAAGTTTCGACAAAACGCCTTTTTCATTTTTATAACATTCTTGTGTTAAATCTTGATTAATTGGAGTTTTTACATTATATATTATTTTTTTTAAATAAAAGGAATATAAAATAACTTATTTAAAAAATTCTCATATACTCAAGCAGCACATTGGTCTAACTATAATATATTCTTTCAGACGTTCAAAAAATTCTGGAATACATGCCTGTGACGAATTTGAAACCAGATAACGAAGACGCAGAAAACGAGGAGAAGCTCTTAGCTAACTATAATACGAAGAAGAAATACAGACAAGTATGTATAACATAACAATCATTTGTCCATTACTTTTAAAATGCTACTCTGTAATAAAATTGTAAAAAATTTAGGAACGAATAATAGATATTCTAATTTTTTTTACTAAAAAAAGTCAAAAAAAAAACTATAAATCACAAATGCATTCCAGACTTTGGAATGCAAAGTCGAAATTTAATTTTTGCTTTTATAAATTGTTTGTCAAAAATTTTCCGATCTTGTGCCAGAAGTATTCAATTCGTAAATAACGACATTCGACTATTATCTTGTGTCTTTTTTTTTATAATATAATTCTTTTTTGCTTCTAGACAGTGATGTTTACCGCCACAATGCCGCCGGCTGTGGAGAGGCTTGCCAGAACTTACCTGAGAAGACCAGCTGTGGTGTACATCGGCAGCGTAGGCAAACCGACAGAACGCACCGAGCAAATAGTTCACATAATGGGTGAAGCCGATAAGCGGAAGAAACTCATGGAGATACTTAGCAGAGGTGTCGAGCCGCCCGTTATCATATTCGTCAACCAGAAGAAGGGCGCGGACGTTTTGGCGAGAGGCTTGGAAAAATTGGGAGTATGTAATTTGGAACTCTTAAACACACACACACACACACACACAAACAAGACACATTTTTGTAACGATAGTAAAACTTTTACCAAAGGTGTAAGGCTTATAAAAAAAGTCATTGAGAGATCTAACGTAGCTTTGCTCTCTTTTAGTACAATGCCTGTACTCTTCACGGTGGCAAAGGCCAGGAACAGCGAGAGTACGCCTTGGCATCGCTCAAGAGCGGTAGCAAGGACATCCTGGTGGCCACTGACGTCGCAGGTCGTGGTATCGACATCAAGGATGTGTCAATGGTTATTAATTATGACATGGCTAAAACCATCGAAGGTTAGTTGCTTCCGTCTTTTATCACTTTTTTTCTCGACATTCCGTTCCAGTTAATAATGAATTTGTTCTATATTTTATATTCTTCAAAAACGCTATATTTATGAATGTTTTACATAATTGTATTATCTATTGCTCACATTTTCTGTGTATGTTATATTCTTACGTTTTTCTAAATTGATATTGAAACATTTTTAAAAATTATAAATTTTTTTTATTTCCAGAGTTATAAATTTTTAAATTTACTATTAATATTTAATATATATATTAAATTTAATATTAAAATTCTTAAGTGATGATTAACTACATAGTTTATTCCTTTGTCTGCAGATTACACACACAGGATTGGTCGTACCGGTCGCGCTGGGAAAGCTGGTCTTGCCATTTCTTTCTGCACTAAGGATGACAGCCACTTGTTTTATGATCTCAAGCAGACCATTCTCGCCAGTCCGATATCGACCTGTCCACCGGAATTGCTCAATCATCCAGACGCCCAGCATAAACCCGGAACAGTGGTCACGAAAAAACGAAGAGAAGAGAAAATCTTCGCTTAATACTTTCTCTCGACGGTTCTTGGTGATTTTTGGATGTACAGGTTTGAGCAGGAAAAATTATTGCATAAAATTTGAAAAGAATATTCTACAATTTCGAATATCAAGATTTATAATTAAAAAATAATTAAATATAAAAATATATATTAAAAAATATAAAAAAATATAGATATTCTTCGAAAACTATATTTTTAGTTATTTTTAATTATAATAATTGTCAAGGCATTTCATTTTCCACTCTCTTAAATACTTTGAATTCTTGAAACGATCATATCTTGCGCGCGACGCACGTATTTTGAACGGTGAAAATAAATACTTAGGCATTACAGATGTATATAGTTATTTACAGCATGGATACAATAAAGTTCGTATTGTGGAAATTCAATTGCAATTGAATTACTTAAATAACAAACTATAGATAGAAAATTATTATTATTATTATAATATCGCGTAAAAAATTGATTTCTATAATCATGAAGATTATGGAAGCGGCGGCGGTGGTGTCACGTAGTCACCCTCGACCTTACATTCCTCTTTCCAGTCATCCGGTATCATCGGCTTCAAAATCTCCACGAACTTGTTCAGAGGGCACGCAGCGGTGCACCCAGATATTATCATCGGATATGGCTCGTGGGTTGTCGTGTTTCGTAAAAATATCTGCAGCAAGTAGATCATTCCTTATTCAAAAATCGAACCCCTGACGAATCTGATTTAAATTTAACGAAAAAATCCACAAGAAAAATAAGTTCGGAAAATTTGCTCACCTGAACGTTCCATTCATTCTCGTCTTCGTGAAGCTCTATCATTATCATAATATTGTAATGCGGCATTTGATTGTACCAAATGTGCATTGTATCCAGCAAAGTGACGATAGTGCTGTCGTGGCCGATGTACATGAACATTTTCCTCAACTCCGGATGTAGAGTCTGCTCCTTTTTCTCCATCATATCGTTAGTGATCTTCTTCAACAGAGGCCCGCCTCTCAGTCGGCGGAAATTGTCGTCGTATGTGTTGAGCTGCAGCTCGTACAAAGCCAGAGGCGTCAATTTGTCATAGTAGTCTCTCGCCCATTCGGGCAGAGTCAGATTCATCTGTTTCTGCAAGAACAATTTGATTATGCAATAATTGAAAATAGACTTCCAACTGATGAGTGCGCACATATATAAACATAAATAGTGTGCACTTCAAATTAGCGTCTTAAACTCTTTGCCATCCGAATTAATTTCGACGAATAAGTTAAATATTTCGTCTTTGTTCTAATGCTGTCGGATATAAGACAAAAATAATAATAATTAACTACTGTTAAGGATTTTATGAAGATTAAAACAATACAGTTCGCAAAATCTGATCCATGTATCGCCTCGATTGTTTGCAGAATCACGCGCGGGATTGTTAAAACGCTATGTCGAGTTCATCTTAGAAGATTAATACTTTGCAGACCAGCCGATCTCAGGAAGACGCGACTATTTCGACGGTGTGGATCGCTGAAAGTGTTGTGCGTAAGTTTTGCACAGATGTCCAAAACAATCTATGAAATTTGCCAGTGTCTTAATATATCGCACCCCCGCAAGAAAAGTGACGCAAGTCGAAATTTTTCGAATTTTGTATTATGTGCAGATTCTAGATACTTCTTACGTTTAACACTCGCGTAAATAATTAATCTTAAAATTATTTGTTTAATCAAGCATAGACTTGTGAAATAATTTTCCGTCAAATCAAGCTTGCTTCGGATAATTTGCGATAGAATTTGAGATAAAAATCTATTCATAATATTATTAATAAAAAAACATTTTTAACGCAACTCCTTCTTTCGTCTCTTCCGAACAATTTGATATTTTTTACTTGTGTCACTTTTCTTACGGAGATGCGATATCTTCAATCGCTATAAAAAAAAAACAAATACCTCAGCTGTCAATGTGCTGTAAAGCGAGCTGACATCGTCGGCATTTGCAATCGGCATACCCGTAAAATTCGTCAGCTGCTCGAACAATTGTTGATTATCCTCGTGCACTTGCCGAACTTCCGGCAGGTCGTTCACTGACGTGCGCAGACGAGTATATTTCGGACATGTATTCCACACTAGCATAAGCTGAAAGATACACACTGTTTAGGACAAAAGTTTTGATAAGAAAAGGCTCTCAATTGTTCTACAATATGGCAAACTCTTGTCAACATGAATGAAATATCATCGACAAAGGAAGTTTAAAATGTTTTTCTCCTTCGATGACGATTTTATTCTTCTCAATTCGACAAGTTTGAAGTAAATCAACGCTGAAAATAGTCGCCCCAAAGTTAGAGGAAAAGATCAGTTAGTGAAATATTTACAGAAGTGCTTTTACCGTGTCCTCCGTGCGTTCCTGATAGAATAGAGAGACCGGTTGCCAGGGTAAATCGGATCTAAATAATTGATCTTCATTGGGTTTCCACAATGCAGCGGCTTCCAGCATGCCCGACATCTTCGTGCGGTCCGTCGCAGTGGTTTGCAAGTAGAATACATCGGGATCGTACACTGATCCTAGGAAACGCTCATAATGCTTTCGCAAAAACAGTCCTTGATTATACTGGTTCTTCTTTCCTTCCTATTTTCATTAATTTTAGTTAAATTCTGCTTTACGAGGCAAGTCGAGGAAAGGAGCGGTTTATTTACGTTTGTCAGCTGACCCCAGCCGTAGGGCTGCATGCTGTCCTTGATATAAGGATCGTTCGGATAAGTGTCCACGGGCGCCCTTTCGCCATGTCGTATCACCTGGAAAATGTATAAAGAATACGCATGTATCACGCGACATCAGTCCTGTTTCTTTAGAGCAAGTTCACTGTTTGATTTTAATTATCCCCAGAAGAGATATTTCAATATTCGAACATTTCTCAACTAGCATTTAATGAGATACGTAGAACTCAACTAGCATTTAATGTGACACGCGTGAGAATATAAATTAACACGCGCGTATGATGCGCTGCGATTTTATTTATCAATGCATTCATATCTATTGAATGACAACAGACGCCGTAACGTACTGACGTTAATTTCCAGTAAAATAGCAAATTCCAATCAACTTTGCAGTTCTCTTCGGACATAATACAAGCGCACGTATGCACAAGTCTTTAAAAATTGCTTACGTGTGTGTTTTAATTTAAAGAAATATCTTGCACAGAATTTTGGATATTTTTATATACTCAGCTTATTTTTTATCTTTGTAATATTATTTTGTTTAATTAAATACGGGATAAAAGAGAAACTGAGAGATGAAAGACGAAATTAGTGACAAAAAATATATATCTTCTGTACAAAAAAAATTATCTCAAATTTCTTATTGTAACATTTAGTACCAGTTTTGTTTCAATACGTACCACGGTGACTAGTCGCAAAGTATCCTTCTCGTGAATTGTTGCGCCTTCCTCCGCAACTTTGGAAGGCAAAGGTACTCCTGAAATATAAAAGATAATCCTTTTATTAACAGATAGATCTGTAGACGCAAAGAGCGTTTTTCAAATAAGAAGAAAAGACATATTTTAAATTTCAGACATACTTTAGGCTACTTTCTCATAGTTTATATCGTATTTGCACCAACATTTAGATCAAATGCACACTTGCGTCTCACTAGCAATGCCTACTTGAGAAAGAACCCGCATTACTCTCAAAATGCATTTAAAAAAAATATAAAATAATTATTCGAAACGCGTAGACTAAACATGTTAACAAGCATTAAAAATGAATGAAACGTTCGCATAAGTTGAAATGAATAAAGTTTCCAGTTCAAAATAATTACTCTTTTTTTCTCCAAACAACAGGTTGCAAGACAGTGTTATTTTGACTCTATTTAATTGTTTTCAAATTAATCGCGAACACAGATTTAAATATTTCTCTCATAGAAGTATTTAAATTGAAAATGGACCATCTTTATATTTAAATACATACGTATTTACATACGTATACGCGCCGCGTGTAATTGCATGTGTGTGCGTTATATAAAGCAACACTTCCGAATAATCACGAGTAAAGCTAACGTATAATATTACAATAAGTATAAAACATCTTGAAAATTCTATTTTTTTTTTTAGATTAAAGATGAATTTTACAAATATTTGCATACTTGTTCTGCTTCGCATAAAAAAAGACGCGTTCGATATCACAAAGAAAAAAAAACGTTCTAGGCACTCTTGTGATCCATAATTTAAATATTTTTCTATGTAAATTTAAAACACTTTGGAAACTAACTTTCCGCTTATATTTATAATATATTACACTCACACTTGCACGGTTAGCGTGAGTGAAATATATCGCCAAAGTTTGATATCTCCTTCTTCACCTTGCAATAAAATACGGAAAAAGAAGAAAAGAGAATAAGAGAACAAGGAACCTTTACCTGACACCAGCGCGAGCATGGCAAGTAGAGGGAAAGCCGCCACCGGAAGGATCATTCCGAATTAATCGAGGACCAGAAGGGCTGATTAATGGTCCGCAAATAGATCTGCAAGTGCGATCGAAACGAACGTGCGAACGTGTGCGACCATGTACTGAGAGGAGTCGCAACACGTGCGCGTAGATAAAGTCACGCGTCCCCACTCTGCGAAAAAGCGATTTGCTTTTAGCGCTTGCAAAGCTATCGATCTGTTATCGCAAGTTGTCACAATTAATCAAATCGCTCATCAAACAGGTGAGCCGAGTCTCCTCCGCGAAAGTTCGAAATAATCAGCCTCTCCCGTCCCGCAAATCGTTCTCCGGGCTTTGACAACTTCTTGTTGTTGTTGCATAAAAGAAAAGAGTTACGCAACAATATATATATATATGCGTGTACACGTATTGTCCGCAAGTATCGCATTAAAGTGCGGAAGTAAGAATTGCACAGAACTGGATCGTAATATGAATTCTTAAGAATCTTCGATCATCCAGATCTGAATTCCGTGCAGACGAAGCGCGAGAATTTTTGCAGTTGAATATATTTGCCAACTCGCGCAATCTTTCTTCCTACGAATGTTGAAATTAATTACTTTTCAATCAATTGTATTGCAGCATCTTTAGAGAAGTGATACAATTACAAGATTTGCAGCATTCATATGGCTGTCTTAAAATATTCACGATTTTAATTCCACGCTTTTGCACAATTTTTTAATTTATTTAATCAAATCGTCACCTGCAATCGTGAAAAACATTTTATAGCAGAGTTAACAAATCGACGTAAAGTAGAACAAGATCATGCGTGACGTGATACCAGCAAGGTTTCAGATAAACTTTCTTTCAAAATAAAGAAAATATCTTCCAAAAGTTTATATAGATTCAGCGCAAAGCGATAAAGAAACGCGGCAAGAAAAATGTCGATGATTTTTAATAGATTCATAATTACAAATTCTCAACTACTAAACAAAATATAAAGTATTTAAACTATTGATTATTATCAAAAATTACTAATATATTTATTTATTTCTGCAATGTTTTTGCATCGTCCTCGTGCACAGTATACGTATGCGTGTGCACGTATAGCGTTACGAAGCTACTTCTTTTTATTTTATAATAACATATAATGACAGCAATATGACAAAACGCATAGTTTGAAAGAGAACTTGCAAAAAAATAAAAACAGGAAGACAGAAGATTGTATTGAGAACTTGATTCGATAAACACGGCAAAAATAATTCTTTCAGAATTCTTTTCTTTCGCAGAATTTCTTCAAATCAGCATATCAAAATTAGCAAGAGTCGCGTTAATTGCGTTTCATTTTCGAGTTTTATTTAAAAAATTTGATTATACAACATTATGAATAAATATAAAAGCAAAAATCGTCTTTTAGCGGGGATGCATAACTATATACTATGTGTCATAGACTTGACTTATCACAAAAATATCTTTAAAAAAAGAATTGCGCTTCCATAATGACTCAATAATCGGTATAATTACGATACAAGGTTCCGATATAATTGCTTGAATGGAAAGAATACCGAAGCCAGCTAAATATTATTTTTTTATTATTGTCATTACGATTCTAAACTAATACTTTTATTTATTTGTCTGTTTAATTACATACTGAAATTTTCCTGGTTTCTTTTATACAATTATATAAATTATCAAATACTGCAGAAAATAATTGTAACTTTCATAAATTCGATCAAGCTATAATTTCTGAGTTGTTATCAAGTCATCAAGTCAAGCCATCAATAATCTTCGTGCAGCAACCTTTTATCAAGAAACATGCTTTTATTCACATTTCATTAGCATTGAAGACTAAAAAATGCATTTAAGTGCGTGATAATAATCGATGACGATAATTATGATAATTGGAAAACACTACTCAAGATATCATGAATAATTATCACTTCGTGATTTAACCAGATAAAACCAGATGTGATGTTTTATCAAATATTCTAAACTATTGAAATAAACTCGGATACAATTTTTTCTCTTTGTCTCGATTTTGCAGATTTTTTAATGCAGGTATTTAAATATCCAAAACGCTTGAACCCAATTTGATCGATGCAACGTAATTTTGAAAATTCAATAAGTTCTCTTTGCGAAAAAATCGCGAGATTAAATTTCGAACATTTTACTCTGCTTTGATTATGGGAACTATTGTTCGATTCTTAATGATGAATTGCGAGCGAAAAGCTACGTTGGCCGCGAGAGCTACCAGACCCGCAATAGATCATCAGCTGTCTTTCGACAAATCACCAGGACGACCGCAGACGCTCGCTTGTTAGCACAGCGTGAGTCTGTCGTGCGAAATTTCGCTGAAAAGTGAAGCTCACGCGAGCGAATAGCCGCGGCGCGAACGCGGTGTAACCGTCGTTCTCGAGGAACCCAAAACCGCATCAACCGTGGATCACGCAAGCGAAGCTGGCCAAACGGCGGTCACCAAGCACCGGAAGTCCCGGCGCAAGAAAGCGAAGAACGCCGCCGTCGCCACCGCCGGAGACTCCAAAGTGCGTTCCTCTGTTTTCATGCACGCGTGTAGAAACGTGAAACTCTCATTCTTACGTTTCTTCCCGTTTGCAATTTTGCCCCCGAATCGTTTATATTTGCTTCTCGAATATGAATTTTTCAAAGACCGTTGGTTAAAATATTGAGTTAACTAAATTTAAATTTTTTTTAATTCTTGAAAAAATGGCCAAAGCTGTTTAAATTTTGGTGAAATCTGATAAGATATATACTTTTTCAGGCGAAAAAAATGGCGAATACTTGTACCGAATTCCGGAAGGAGATGCACAAATCCTACATCCTGCCGGCAATGCAAGCGGCGCCTTCGTACTCTGTGACAACGTTACAAACTCAGAATGGCTCAAGCACCGCGATGCGGCCACGATCTCTTTATACCGCGCACAATTATCATCCTCAACCTGAGGATCCTAACTTTCAAGTAAAATCCAACCTTGAACTTTGTCTCTTTCATCTCTAATCTATCTTTATCTTTTAAGCACAGAATGTGCGCAATGAGATTCTTAGGCACCAAAATTCCAGCAGAAATAAATCCGAAAACTTTAAATCATATATTTGAAAGAAAAAAAAATTAGAAACTTGAAAAACAAAATTGCAAAAAGAGAAGCATTATAAAGCATTATTTCTTACATAAACTTATCTCGAGCATTCTAAAGTTGTTTGCGAAAGTTTATTACTACTACTAGGTGATAAGATAAGGAATGAGACAAGAAAAAGACAAAAAAATTCTCGCGGAATATCTACAGCGCGGCTCGGACCATTAGAATCCTAAAGTATAATATGAAAATTGATTCTGATATGACCTTGTAGCGATACAGCGAGCTGTCCAAATACTTCGAGCCTCCGACCGAGCAGTGGAGCGGCCTGGGCGGAGGGAGTGCGTATTCAGGATCGGTGGCGCTCTGGCGACAAGCGAGGAAGTCGATTGGCGGACCTTATTACGTAGCCGACGAGGCCCCAGTCTACACGGAAAACTGGCGGGAGCATGACGCTGACGCCGGTGTCGGCGGTGCCGTCGCTACTCCCCACGGCACCATATCATTAAGGCTGCACAACAGGATACGTGTGGATATGACGGTTGATCGTGCCGTCCGGGTCATCAATTTCAAGGTGGTTCCCCACTAAAAAAAATATATATTAGCTAACAACCACTCTAAATCAATTTCGATCAAAATGTCTAACATTAATTTAAATATTAATTTTAACAATATTAATTAACGTTAATGCATTATAATTGTCAATTGACAAAGTTTGATCAAATATGGCTAGTTTCATCGTAGAATCGCAATTCTATCATTTAAAGAGTCAGTTTTTTTAAATTGAACATTGTAGTGTGAAAGTTCGAAATCGAAGGGTGAAATGGGATTTAGATAGCGCACATTTACGCCTGGCTTCTCATCCTTGCAGAACAACATAGTCCTGTCGCTGAGCGGCTCCGGCGCGGCCGCCGTTCTGTTGCACCCCAACGGTAGAATATATCAGTACGGTTCGCGGGTCGAGATCGTCGCTCACGACACACACGGCAACAACAAGTTAGTTTTGATCGCGAAAGATTAAGCGACCGCGCTAATCCCGATTGACTCGTTTTGTCAGATACGCGAAGATGTGGTACAAGGGAGTCAGTTTCACGTCGGAGCAATGCGCGCTTGTTTATCTGGTAGACGCGGCTGGCACCAGGACCACGACGGACTCCTTCTCGGACATGAGTCAGGTAGAACGGCGAACTATCTTGCGTTTCTGCACCAATTCACTCGAGATCTCGATTATTTTTATTTTTTAATGCGGATTATAATCGTTGCTGACAGTTTTTTCTCACGCTAAATTTATGCCTTAAATTAAAGAGCTCATAACAAGCAGTTCTCATCAAAAATGTAAAATTTTTAAAGAGAAAAAACTGTTTAGCTTTCTTCATTTTAAAAAAAATCTCAAATTTTTCTTATTTATACAATTCAGAATATTAAAAAATTAAAGAGGCTTCTCTGATGATTGTATAAAATTTGAATTTGAATAATTGTTTTCGAATTTCTTTAGACATAGCTGTGTAACGCCCGAGAAGTTGTTATTTTAAAGAATTATAGAGAAATAGACTTACTGTAATTTTCGACGGATAATTCGCAGGATTTTTCGCTGAGCATTTTCTATTCGGGCTCTCGTCATGGACCATCGTGTCTGCAGGAAGCTGCGGCACATCTTAACACGGCTCAGTACTGGCAAACGGAGGAAGGAGTTGAGAATTGGATCATCAATAACGTCAGAGTGTCGCAGACTCCAGATGGCCTCGTCAGGTAATTAATTCACCAAATCTGCAAATTTAAAAATAAAAGAATAAAAAAGGAATATCAAAGAGAAAAATTCATAACATTTGCGTCTTTGCGACTTTTAAAAAGCGAATATATAGATTACACGTTTGAAAAGCGATTAAATTTACTTGATACTGAATTCCAGTAAAAATTATTATTCTCGTACTATAAAAAATAACAATTATGAATTATCATAAAATAATAACTTTTTTCAAAATCCTGATGTAATATACAATTTTTTAGATTCAGTGCATAAAAAACTACGAAAAATTATTCTTTTCAAGAAAATATCTAACTTTACAGTGTTACATATCTGTTATTCAGTGTTTTTTGAGTATTTTATATCACTCGACAGAATTGCGCGAAACAGCAACAAATATCAACTGCGTACCTCGCCCAGCAACGGCACGGCGTCGTTGACGACACCTTTTCTGCACTGCACGGCGTCCCTCGGTCAGACGTCGCATCTGTTCGTGCGCCGTGGCGAGCGTCGCATTGCACTACGACGGCACCAGCTTCATCGTGAGAAACGCAGGTCACAGCGCCGGCTTCGACGACAACAACCAGTTGAAGGTTTATTAAGAGCGAGCTTCGTGAACGACTCGACTTCTCCGTTGGAGTTCGCCTGCGAAACAGCATCGGTGAATGCAGAGCCAACTCTGATCGTCAAACCGCTCCAAGGACGGGAACTTCGAATCACCTTGAGAAACGTAAAATTCTCAGGAATTTTCTCGAAGATCCCCCCGAAATACTGAAATCTTTCTGCGCGCAATTCTATTGCCGCCAAAATTGCATAACTGTCTGAAATTGTGGAAAGCTTCTTCTTATTTGATGTCATTAAATTATGCGAAACATAATTTCGGCTTCACATTTAAAGGCCGAACATTATATTTTGAGATTTTCTAAACTTTTACGGGTACGTGATTTTGTGTAATTTCCAAAGTGATTCGAGAATCTCTTCTCCCTTCTACGGTGGGCTAAACTTTTTTAAAATTTGCACGACAGAAAGAAAGAATTCAGTATTTATCAATATTTGTATAAACTCAAGAAAGTTCAGTTCAAAGCAATGGTTTATCTGATATTAAGAATTCGTGTAGGAATAAATAATGTTGGAAAAATTGAAATTTTGTGACTTTCTCTTCGAGTTCTTAAGAAAGCACTACTGAATCCGTTCATTGTGTCCGTGCTTTTACACGCACACTTAGAAATTTACTTAAATTATTTATTGCTAAAGTTTAGTGATTTATTTGAATTACCTTGTCCGTCCAATATATTGCTCTAAGCGAAATATTTCAAGAAATGATTTAATCGTGAAATCTTACATCTTCAGATTTGAATGAATATTTTTTTTGAACATCTTTCATTTTATTCGGCCTTATAAAATCTATTTTTACACAACTGTAAACAAAACTTGACAAAATGTAGATTGGCGGAACTTTATTTCGCTAAATTACGAATTAAAAAAGTCTAAAAAAGTTTAATTTCTAAGTTTTCTCTCCTCTGCTTGTATTTGAAGCAACGTTCTTTTTCCTCCCAATACTTGAACCAATTCTTGAATCGTTTTCTAAACCTTTCTCAAAAAGTAAGTGTTGTCTCGTCCACCAGAAGATCCGCCAATTCATCCTGCTCTTCTGACGAGTCTTCTGATTCGGAATGTAATCCATCTTCGAATGCTCGGCCTATTTTGGCCAGAATTTGATCCTTGCGAAGTCGCTTCCTGCAGGAAAATTATTATTACACCTTATAGACTTCTTGCTGCGATAATTCGCATAATTACAATACAATAAAAAAATTACGAATATTAATAATTACGCAGAAAATTTGTATATTAATAGTGTGAATATATGTAAATATAAAAGTGCATAATATAAAATATAATATAAACTAGAAATATGCAAAATACTTTTCTCTCTCTCTTTAAGTCTTACAATTTTTATCTGAAATGTTTTGTGTCTCCGTCTAATTTAGAAACAGTTAAAGTTTTCATTTAAAATGGCACTTTCTGCATATAACAAAGTTACACACCGTTTGTGATCTTTCTGGTTGGTTTCGCCGATCGATCCTGATGTTAACGCCTTACTGCTACTCGCTTGCCCCGCAACAGGTTTAAGAAATATCCTACCGTCCGACTGCATGTTGCGAATATCCTTGATAATATTGTTCGCTGTCTTAACATCATACAGCTGCAAACCAGACTGTTCGTCTGCGCCGAACACAATGCGTTTTTTCGTTTCATAGACTTCGCTCAGTTTGTTGATTGTTGACAAAAGTTTTCCCGGCGCCGCCAGATCTTTAATTTCTGGCATCAAATTACCAACATCCAACTTGGGTTTTTCCTGCTTCGTAGCGAAATATTTCTCAATGCCAAACTGAAATAAAAAAATGTTTATATTAATAACAACACAAGTAATATGGTTGCAAAATTTCTAGATTATATCAACAAAAAATCACAAATTTATGTTCAACATACAAATTTATGATTCACAAAAAATGCTTTCCTTTTCTCCTTTTTTTCTCTCAATTAAAAAATTGAATTATCTGATATTTGCGATTCAAAAAAGGTATTTTACAATTCAGGCAAAATTCACATACCTCATTGTCATTTACACAGTGTACAAATGCACGATTGACAATCAATTTGCACAAAATGTAATTAGCATCTAAGAGTGCTTCTTCTTTAATCTTTGTGTGTAAGTCCATTAAATGTTTCCAATCTGATATGGTCATCCTGATTTTTAACTCATTCACTGGTATTTTGTAATATACAGCATACAAGAGATACAAGGCCCCAACACGTTCCTTTAAACTAGATGCATTCACTAGAAATTGCTTTGCTATACCAAGAGCATTTTGGCAAAATTCCGTTAAAGCCGTTTCTGTAGGATGATAGCTGCAAGTTTTTAATTTTGATTAATTGACTTTTTGATAGACAATTTTCAGTAAAATTTAAAGAGAAACTTTAGAGAAAAACTTTGGCAAAAAAGTTTATTAAAAAGATGATACATGCTGGCAGATTGTATTTGCATCAAAAGATTTATAAATTTAATTCTTTAAATGCATAAATAAGTAGAAAAAATAGAATACATACGTGAAAACCAATGTGAAATGCATATCCTTCCAGATATCACAAAAGTTTTGAAAATGAATGTTGTATGACAATTCAAAACGAGTTATTAGTGTTTGGCAGTCAATTTGAAAAGCCTGCATCAAAAGCTTTTCTATTTCTTTTTTCTTTTTCTTTTTTTCTGTTGAATAAGGTAAACATGTTAAAAAGAAATATAATTTGTTCTTATTACAATTTTTAAAGTTTATAAAATGAGCTTTTGACAAATATGCAGTATAAACAGTGTGGTTATAAAGTTCCCAGTCTTTTTTCCTAACCTTAAAAAGTAGCGCATTTTACAATTTGTTGCTTCTTTCGTCAAATATAGTGATTACCTTTAATTAATAGATCTTTATTTTGTACTAACATATTTTCACAAATACTTACGTGAATCGAAAGACATGGTTAACTGATTTTCAAAAATTACGAAGCACGATTAGATGATGGTTTTCTAGCTGTCGAATACAATCGTTAAGTCGCGCGTGCGCACCCGGTCGAATACATCTAAGAGCACTGACTCGGGCCGTCACTCCTGTCAATCTTTAAAGCACAAAAATGAATGAATACTTGTTCAGACGAATAAAAAGACAATTAAATGCAAAATTTTATATAATGAACGATACATGGTTGAGAGACTGCATTGAATTCTTTGTCGGAGATAAGGCTTCTCATGAAGTATGTTGCAAATTTTTCTACTTTGTTTACTTGTCTATTAAAATTATGAAATATAATTATTATTGTATTATCATAAACCGTGCATTATAATTATCCTATATATAATACAAGAGGTAAATTTTTATGTGTGCAAGAATTTCATGGCTATTTAAGTCTCAATTTATTAATTCTTTTTAACATTTTTTTACAGTTAAGATTGTAGATGGATAACAAAATTACAATTTGGTATATCAATTAAGCTTAGACAAAATTTAATTTATGATTATTGTTGCAGATAACAGATAGGCATATTTTTGAATTTGTGGAGGGCCAGTGGCAGCTGAGTGATTTAAGAGAGATCAACAATGAGAATGGATGTCTACCAAGAAATCTGGCACAACAGGTGCGCACTGTACTGACTGGCACCTACATTCTTCAAGTAAGTTCTGAAAAATACTCTGCTTCTTTACAAATATTCCTTACATAAGAAATCTAAATAATTATATTCGAAAATTATATAATACAAGCACAGGTGGACAAGATGTATGATATAGCGAGTTCTAAGTACAAGCAGCTATGTGAGATTCGTAAAATTAATACCAAAAATATTGAAGCAATAGAAAAGGAGAACTCGACAGAGTGGGAGCCCAAGGGTAGAAGAATGATGCAACTGTGTCTTACTGATGGGGTGCAGGATCTCATTGCGATAGAATATACTTCACTCAAGCAACTGACTGTAAGGCTTCTTTCATCGCTACATTTTGTACAGTAGATATTTGCATAATTTGATCCAATTGCAGAGCTTACTTGGAATAATTTACAAATATTTGTGAGATTTCAAACGTTTTGGAAACAAGCTCTTTAATCAATGAATTAAAGTGTATTTTTTTTTGCAGAGTACGTTGCTACCTGGTTACAAGGTGATGATAATTGGTCCGGTCGACTGTAGACGTGGTGTTATCCTGCTGCAGGATGGCAAGTACAAGGAAATTGGAGGAGAGATAGAATCTTTGTTGAAACCCAATGCACTGGAGAATGTCTTGGCTAGAGCTTTGTAAAATTCTATCAAGTTTTCTCTTGAACGTAAATTATTTTTTACTTTCTAGTTTCTTCATATGAATTTCAATTTTCCAGGGACGAACCTGAAAATCCTGATCCATACAATGATAACGGGCCACCTAGAATCCCGAATCGGAATGTTCAGAGTGCGCCGTCCAATCCTAGCAACGACAGTTTCTTTGACGATGACTTTGAAGAAAATATCGACTTTGTAGCAGTAACAGAAATTGAACGACGGAGTCAGGAAAGTGAAGCTGTTCAGGACCGCGTTAAAAGTACAAGCGATCAAAAAGAAACTGAGATGGCAACGGAGGAAGCTATGGAAACGTTTTTGGAAGATATAGATTTTGAACCTTTCGAGAATTGGTAAAATTTTTAAGTAAAAGTTTGTGTAATATTTTTTGAAGCTAGATTCGGATTCGGCGTATAAGAATTACTGAAAACTATTTTTTCTTCTAACAACAAAGTGTTCTCCAGTTTTGCAACTGATTACTGAACGATTGTTCCAGGCCCAGCGATTCTCCGAGGCCTTTACGAGTGTTGCCTGCGTCACCAGAATCTGAAAGGATTGAGCAGAAAGATGACATAATGATAGTCGAAGAAGAGTCGGCCCCTGCACGCGATTCTCACAACGCGTGTCCTGCGAGTTCGTTTAAGGACAGCATTTCAGAATTTCCTGACGATGATTTCGATTTCAATGACATCATAATCAAAACAGAAAAATCGTGGAAGTATCTTACCTTTGTCTCTCTTTGTATAATATTTAATTTGTTTTCGTATTTGTATACTAATGCGTGTAATTTCACTTTATTTCAGTCAGCAAGATCGTTTAAAGACTGAAATCAAAACGTGTTTTACGCCACCGAATCCTAAATCGAAATTGCCGAACCTTGATGTTCCGATAAAAATTGAGAAATATATTGTTAAGAAAGAAAACAAAGAATCTATGGTATCTTAGAGAAAACATTCAATTGTTTTTCCTTTTTTTAAGTACTGAAACTAATTGATTTTCATTCATTTAACCCGAAAACTTTGCCAAAGATGGACACCAAAAGTACAATCCGACAAACGCCGAAAGCTGAGATGATTGTAAACTCCTCTGTGCTACCATCGAAAAGCTGCGACGTCCTAAGCGATGTTTTACGCGAGCCTATCATTGGAAGGATGTACAGGACGGTGCGAGGTCAAGTGAAAAACCACTCGGCGCTATCGAAACAAGGAAGATGCTGGGCGGTCACGGCAGTGATCGCCGATCACACCTCTAGCGTGGAAGTCTGCTTCGATTCTGAGGTACTAAATAGAAGGAAAAATTTTAAATATTAAAATAAGTTATAAAATATTAATTGTAAAATAAATTGGATAAATTTTTGAATTCCCTTTTTTAATGCCATAGTTTGATTACAGTAAGGAATAGAGAGTGTTAAAGGTTGATACATTTTACGAATGAACTGAAATATACCTTTCAGATCCTGGAGAGATTTCTCGGATTCACTGTGCAGGAATTTTCGCAAAAGAAGAAGCTCGCAAAGTCGGATCCTCGAATGAATAATGAACTGCGACTTGTAAGCTGGATATATTCAATCGATGATTAATATTACAGGAACGTTTTTCATTTTTTTTTTTTTTAGAGCTTACGCAAGGCGCAACATCAAATACAAAATTTGGATGCGTTGTTAAAGCTGGAGTTGATTCGGGGCGAAATGCCTAAAGTCGTCGATATCACGCAGTTGACTCAACAACAAAAGAACGATCTAATGAAGAAATCTACATAAAATTGGGTGAAATCGTAGAATCGCCTTACGAAAGATTCGATTTTTGTATAAATATAGTTCAACAAAGTTAAATGTAATAATCGAAAGCAAATGTAATTTAAAATTGTTGTAAGAAAAATATTATACATATCAAGAATTGTTATGCAATATTTTTGTACATTTTTAATAAACGTGCCATTCTTAACAAACAACTTAGCAATTCAACAATCGACACCAAGTAGATTTACAGCATTAATCTCCGATTTGAATTCCTTTCTCGAAATTTTGTTAAAAGTATTAAAGTTTCTTTCTTACATGGCGTTGTGCGCAAAGAAACAGTAAAAAAAAAAACAACAAATTTCGATTAATGAATTGGATGATCATAGCATTTATTAACCGGTACAATTGATCATCACAGTGGTACATTTTCGTCTCAACTCCTGGTTTTTCTCATTCTTCTCTTCACTCATTCGCACGCACGCACATATTTTCTCTCTCGCTCTCAATATCTCTCGTTCATTCATCCATTGTAATAACAAGTTACAGTTTTCAATTCATATTGTGTTTTTTATTGTTACAGTAGATTTACGCTTATTGCACACTTTTTCTATATACACTTGGATGATGTATATATATATATTCTTTTATAATATAATAATGTATCTATATTTTCATTGTAGCCCTAATACGATCAATTCTTCAATAGTTTTGTACATGTAGCAGAGGTAGTGTTTTGGCGCAGCACCTGACTTATTTAACATCGTGATGCTTCCGTCGCACGTTTGTATAATGCACAATCGTCGCGTGTCGTTAATGTGCTCGTACGAGGGGTATG